GAGAGAGGGAGAGAGAGGGAGAGAGGGAGAGAGGGAGAGAGAGCGAGCGCCCTGGGTAAGTCCTACCTCTCCCCCGTGCCCATCGAAGATCCCAAAGATGGACGGGTGTGTCTTGTTGGCCAGATCCGTAAGAACTTCGAACCGGTCCTCCATGTGGTCTCTCCGACCCTGGATGGAGTACACGGCCACGTTGTGGCTCTTGAACTCCCAGGTCTTGGAAAACTCAGCCTCCAGCACATCAAGCCCCCCGAGTCGATCGTTCTGCATGATCTCGGCTACCTTGCCCTTCACCATCTTCACGGCGTCCCGGCTGGACTTGACGATGGTCTTCACCTCGTCGGTGTGGAAGAAGTAACTCCAAAGCGCCAAGCTGATGCACAGCAGGAAAAGCGTCTCGGGTCTCAGCAAGAAGTAGCGCATGATGCGACCCAGCAGAGACAGCAAAGTCATTGTATCCTCTATCATTTATTATCGCTAGAGCCCCAACGACGAGCAGCGACACGCGTCCCGAAGGCTCGCCGGGTCCCCGAGCACTGCGGGAACAGCCCGCGGGGAGGGAGGCGGAGCAGCGCCCGGGTTTGGGGGAGGAAACTCACCGAGCCAGGCGGGAGGCGGACGAACAGGCTGCTCCGAATGGGCAGCGTGAGCAGAGGCAGTTTCCCTTTTGTCTCCCCGCCTCAGCGGCCCAGAGGCCCGTCCCTGCCGCCCGCGCCGCCTCGCCCCTCTTCCTCGAGCCCCTTTGTGAGATCGCCGCGGTGGCGGCGGCGGCAGCGGCAGCGGCAGCGGCGGCGGCGGCAGCAGCAGCAGCAGCAGCAGCCGCCGCAGCAGCAACCGCGGGTGTCCGGGTTGAGCGAGAGGAATCAAGTTAAAGTTGTGCCGGGAGGGTCCGCCGCGGTGAGCGGGAGAGTTCGGGGGCGCCGGCGCCCGCGCCGCCCCTCCGGGGGTGCCCCCTCGCGGCTCCGGGGAGCGATCAGCAGGTGAGGAGACGCCGGGTTCGAGAGCCCGGCGGGCGAGGGATGCACGTCCCCTCGGTCGCCGCTGCAGGGGAGCGCGGAGACGGCCGAGCGCTCCAATTCCTTCACACACCCCGGGGGACCCCAGAGAATAAAAGTTTTGCGGGAGCCTACGCAGAGGCGGAGGTACGCGGAGCCTGGCGACGCGGCGCGATCGGCGTTGAGCCGCAGGCGGCCGGCCGGGCTCTGCCTGCCTCTCCCTGGCACCTACCGGCTCGGCTCAGCTCGGCTGGGCTCGGCTCGGCTCGGCTTCGCTAGCGCGCTCCCTCTTGTCCCGGCTCGCTCCCGCCCCTGCCCATGCGCGTTCGCCCCGCCCCGTCCCGCCCCTTGAGCCTGGACTCGACACCCCGAGGTGCTCCCACCCAGCTGTCAGAGGCTGAGGAAGTTCGGCGGCTGGTGCGCGCTTCCAGCTCGGGGCCGTCCAGGTGAACCGAGGGGGAGGGAAGAGGCGCGTCCTCTGCCTAGCTCTTACGGAAGGTCGTTCCTGCCCGCTGTCCGGCCTCCCAGGGCAATATCATACTGACCCGGGTAGTCTTAGCGTTGGTTTCTTGGGAGCCACTGCTGCTCACTGGGAAGCAGAGAGCCGCACGTGAGCCTTCCCCCCTTCAGCAGTCTGCACGGTAGTGCAGTCCCCGCTTCGCCAGGCATAAGGCAAGCGAGAAGGGACGCACTTCTTCCGGCTCGCAAAGCGAGTCGGAGAGGATCGGCCCGTGGGCCGCCGCCTCCGCGTTTAGCAACTGAGGCCTGCCGGGATCTCCCGAGAGACGGAGAGCCAGCCCGGGGCCTAGCAGCCTCCACCCACCCGAGAACAGCAGAATAGAGCGAATCGGAGCCCCATGGAAGTGCGCTCTGATGATAACGTCGGGCGGGGTGAGGAAAGACCTCCCTGTCTGAGAGCGGCCGTAGCCCCTGGAGCAAGGGACTCAACAGCCACGAAGGACTTCCCCGGTCGCCACCTTTCCGCAGGGAATCACGAAGCTTCTAGGGGTGGGGATTCCTGACCCTGCCGCGGGGCGAGGGCTCTGACTCTGCCATTCAGGTTTGAAGGGCCCTCGAAGCTCCGAAGCAGCGGCCTCCTACCACCCTCAGTCGTGGCGGGAGGAGGTGCAGCAGGGGCGGGAGTCATTCCATAAGCAGAGGGGACGGCCGCAGAGCACAGGGCGGGCCCCCAGGAGCCGTAAAGGATAACTTGCAAAGTGGACAGGTGTCGGTGGGCCTTAAAGATGAGAATTGGTACAAGAAAAGAACAATGTACAAGTCAGCCTACAATAGGGAAACAAGTGAGCTTTAAAGGAAAATATTCACTCTTGCTTCCCCTGTCCAGGAAGAAGAGTGCTGATCTGCTTTTTGCAGCCCTCTCGACTGGAGACTAGAGGCTGCCTGACCCCAGCAAAGACAGTGTCTGTACCCCTCAAGCACTCTGCCTTGGTATGATCCCGATTACTTTTTTAAAAATAAGTAAAAAGAAGTACTGGAAGGAAATACACCAAAGTGTTCACAGTGGTTAACTACAGTAGATTATATGTAGTTTTCATTTTCTGCCTTAGACTTTTGTCTATGTTCCACAACTTTCCCAAAGTTTCTACAAAAGGCATAGATTTCCATCATAACCAGAAAAAAATGAAAACTTAACATTTAAATGACATATACATTATGTTCTCAATAATACAAATATGCACAGAAAAGATAGAAGGGAAGTATGAGGAACTGTTAATAGTATATTATTTTTGACAACTAGGATATAGTTTCCTGTTTTGCTTTGCACTTTTGGATTATTTTTCCACCTGGTAAATAAAGAAAATAAAACACTTTAAAATCAATTCAGTCATTTTGTTCAATAGTCAGGAGGTTCCAAAATAAGATAATGAATTCAAAAGCCTTTAAGAACTATAAGGAAAAGTAATGCAAATTACTTGGTGTTATTGTGAAGATAAGTTTAATTTCTCACTGTAAATTAGCAAATTGCTTTTGGGAGCATTATCAGTCATTCTGTGTGTGAATCTGTTTCTCTATGCCAAAAGCAACTTGCAGATAAGCTGATAAAGATTCCAAAACTACTTGTCAAACTGGGCCCTGCAGTAGCAGTAAAATTCCAAACCCAGAGGCCTATCCCGCCTGTCCCCTACGTTCCTATATTGATGACAGCAGAACAGACACTGGTGAGTGACATGACTTCTGTTTCCCCCATATCTAAATAAAGAAGAGAGATTACCATGTTGGTCCCCTGGAGGTTAAATAACAAGGCTTGACTCGATGAATTAATTAATAAATCTAAATATCCTCCGGATTCTGTGGAAATATCCTTTGACGTTTACATCGAAGTAGTTCATCTGTGTGAAAAATCAATAAAATAATTTTTCAAGCAGACCCTATAGGGATTTTCCTATTTCTGTTAAGAAATTCATATAGTTTACATGGCAATTTCAAAAATGCCTAAATAAGCTTTTGTTATATTTCACTGTGAATTTTAATACATTAGAGAAATTAAAAACCCTTCTTCTAGTGACAAACTAACATTTATATATTGCTTGAGATTACAAAGGTTTTTCATGTATACCAATTTATTTCCAGTCTCATAACAATCCTCTGAGGAAGATAGAGTAGCTATTATCTGTGTTTACAAACATGAGGAAAGTGAGGCACAAAGATGTTAAATGAATATCACAATTCAACAAATAAAAAGTTGGAAACTGAAAGTCAGTTCTTCTGATCACCAGTTCAGTACTGTAACATTTATTTCCCAGTAATACTGAGATGATTAGTCTAATTTTTATACTTCTCTACCAACATTTCACTAGATCGCTGTTACAGAAGTCTCAAAAAGTGTACATGGATTCTTATTCCACAATTCTGATTTTGGCCTTTGGGACAAGCTCTGCACCATGAGTATTTATTTACCTTACCCACTGAGATTACCTGGGGGGCAGAAGACAAGTGCAAGTAAACTGTCCTCTATGTAATAGCCTAAAAGATCTGTTGCTAAAGTAAAATAATGTCTGAATTTCACAGAGAGTAAAGAGGCAGCATAAAGTATGCACTATACAAATACTTTGCCATTACAAGTGGTATGGTAATGAACAAAGAGTTAATATCAATCCTAGATTTTCAAAAGATACAACAATAGTGAAAAAATAGTTTTTAGGTAATGATCATTTTCTACTATGCAATTAATTCATGTGAGCCTTGCAAATATAAAAAAAAAAATAAGTATATAGCTTTTTTTTTTTTTTGAGAAGGGTCTCTCTTTCGCCTGGGCTAGGGTGGGGGCCATGGCGTCAGCCTAGCTCACAGCAACCTCAAACTCCAGGGCTCAAGCAATCCTTCTGCCTCAGCCTCCCGAGTAGCTGGGACTACAAGCATGCGCCACCATGCCCGGCTAATTTTTTCTATGTATTTTTAGTTGTCCGATTAATTTGTTTCTATTTTTAGTAGAGACAGGGTCTCGCTCTTGCTCAGGCTGGTTTCGAACTCCTGAGCTCAAACAATCCGCCCGCCTCGGCCTCCCAGAGTGCTAGGATTACAGGCGTGAGCCACCGCGCCTGGCCAGTATATAGCTTTTAAAAGTAATTTATTCTCAAAAATGTTCAGAGTTGTAGCTCTTAGGTTTAAAAAATATTTAAAACAGAGTTTGATAACCAATAAATCTATTTTCTAGTATGATATTGTTTCATGATGTCCTCATCTATTTTTGTTTTTGCCATCTCTGCCTCATATAGTTATAAAAATCAAATGTAAAGTGATTTATCAACTGAGCCTCTGAATGATGAATATGATAAAAAATGCCCTGAAGTAAATTTTAAATGAAACTTATATATATAAAAATTCTCTGCACATTTTTAAATTTCCCAATGATGAGTTTGATTTGTATTCTTAAATCGTTCCTGCCATCTACATACAAATATGTACTGGGTATTGAGTACAACTCTTTTACTAATATTCTATCAACATATACCTATATATGTATAACCTTTTAAGTGATACATATAAATTAACGCATGCAAGTATTGTTATTAAGCATAATAATCACAAGTAGTACACACCTAAACAAAAAACTAGACTGTGACCAATATCTTTGTACCAGCCTAAGAGTTCTTTCCCTATCCCACCTTCCTGCCTATCCTCCACAGGTAGTCCAGTATCCTGAATGTTACGTTCTATCATCCCCTTGTCTTTTCAGAAAATAACTTCATCACATATGTCTGCATCCCTAAGTAACATATTTTTAGTTTTGCTTAGTTTTGAGCTTTATAAAAATGATATCTTACTGTATATATTCCTCTGGTACTTGTTTTTTCACTGTTATATTTCCAGATCCTCCCATATTGTTATATATAGCTGTAGTTCAATCATTTTTACTGCTATGTATTTATTATGTGACTGTTCCATAATTTATGTATTCATCTTCCTTCTGTGGATGTTCAAATTTCCAATTTTTTGCTATAATGATCAATGATTTTATGAATTATTTTTGTACTATCTCTTGGTGCACATATGCAAAAGCTTCTCTAGAGTATATATACTTAGGAGTGAAATTACTGGATAGTAAAGAATGAAAA